TTTTGCCACAAGTGTAGCCTTGTAGCGCTCAATAGAACCATCCACTTTGTGTTTTACAGTATATACCCATTTGCATTCCACATGTCGTTTGCCCTCAGGTAACTCAGACAATTCCCAAGTGTCATTCCTCCTAAGTGCTTTCATTCCTTAATCATGGCAAGTTTCCACTCAGAGGTAGCAAGAGCATCCTGAAAATGGTTAGGAATGTTAACAGAGGAAATATTTGATACAAACGCTCTTTATGAGGACGACAAATGAGAGTACGACACAAAATTGGAGATAAGATGTTGAGTACATGATCTCACACCCTTTCTCTTGGCAATAGGAACATTAAGATCAATGGACTCAAGAGATTCAAAATTACTTGGACCCTCATCAGAAGCAAGAGATAGCAGTGGAGAAGTAAAAGTGGTCACTTGTATCCAGTTAACTTTCTGTTTGTCTTTGTTCCTGACATATACTTGCCCTTCCCTATCCTTGGTGATATTGAGTTCTGTAGTCCCAGTAAGAGGTGGTGGTGCAAGAACAGCGGGTTCCATAATAGGAATCACGGGAATCACTTCACACCAAGGCTCCCCCTGCAGGGAGGACTGTGACACCGGAGAGGACAAGCAATAGGACTGGGACTCAAAGAAAGTGACATCCATTGATACAAACCACTTACGAGAAGGAGGGTGGTAACACTTATACCCTTTTTTAGTAGGAGAGTAACCAAGGAAAACACATTTGAGGGAGCGAGGGTCCAACTTACCACGACATAGCCAAATATTTTGGGAGGAATAGAAAACAAGAACTGGGAACCTAGGAGAACTTGAAGAGAAGCTTATTTTTGCAAGACCTAGGTAGGAAGACGATTAATAAGATGGGCAGCGGCGAGAATAGCATCGCCCCAGTAGGACCGAGGCACACTCATAGAAAAATACATGCACCGAGCCATGTCAAGAAGATGGCGATTCTTGCGTTCTGCCATTCCATTTTGTTGAGGGGTATTGGTGCAAGAGGTCTGATGGATAATGCCATGAGTAGAAAAATATTGCCCTAACCCAGAATCTATGTATTCACCCTCGTTATCAGAATGGAATATTTTGACAGTGGCCCCAAAAAGAGTACAAATCATCTTATGAAAATTGCGAAACACAGAGAAAACCTCACTCTTGTCTTTCATGATATACATCCAACTAATACGAGAAAAATCATCAATAAATGTAACAAACAACCGATGACCTTTCACAGACACAACACGAGATGGACCCCAGATATCAAAATGTATAATGAGAAAGGAACTAAGCTTTTATTAAAGCTGAGAGCAAAAGAAGCTCTGTGTTGTTTTCCAAGCTGACAAGACTCACAAAGAAATTCAAACACATTATTGTTTGAAAAAACAGATGGAAAGAAATGCTTAAGTAAATAAAAAGAAGGATGCCCAAGACGCCGATGCCACAGCCATATATCATCAATGGTAATAGAACCCGTGGTGGAAAAATGAGGAAGTTTGTCTAGTTGATCCAGGAAGTAGAGACCATTTTCTGCACTACCACTGCCAATCGTCCTCCTCGTGACAAGGTCCTGAAAAAGACAATAATCAAGAAAAAAATGTCACACTACAATTCAAATACTTTGTAATGCGACTCAAGGATAGCAAGTTAACAGAAAAATTGGGAACATAAAGAACAGAAGAGAGAGGTAAAGTAGGAGTGACATGGACTAAATCTTTCTCAGAAATAGAAGAAACAGTACCATCTGCAATCCTAACTTTGTCTTGACCTGAAGAGGGCTTATAGGCAGAAAAAAGGTCAGAGGAGCCAGACATATGATCTGAGGCACTAGAATCAACAATCCAGGGCAAAGACTTATGAGACAGGAAAACACAAGGAGAAAAGGCTAAGTTAGCTGAGCAGGCAAATGATGAAGATGTACTAAGCGCAGTAGAAGACCGGCGGTCTAGCAAGTGATGCAGAACATTCTCAAGCTCATGAGTAGTCATGTCAGAGAGACCATCAGAAGCCTGGCCAACGGAGGCAGAAGTAGAATCAAGTGTATCAACGACACTAGACTGATGAGCCCGTGGATAGGAGCCATGTCCTCTAGACTGGCTTAACCGACCTCCTCTAGAACTAGACCGATCACCTCGACCCCCGGATAAAGTCCTATGAAGCTTCCAACACGTCTCACGAGTATGCCGTGGCTTCTTACAGTAATCACAAAATAGACTCCTTAGCGGCAGACGGAGAGATGGGAGTCAAGCTGAGACCATCTCTAGAGGTAGACAGTAATGCTGAGCGGTCAGTAGAGACAGGGACATCATAGCAGACCGGCGGCTGCCCTCATTCTGTACATAGGCAAATGCCTCCTGAAGTGAAGGAAGAGTGTCCATACTCAGAACCCGACTCCGAACCAGATCATACTTCACATTGAGACCGGCCAGAAACTTGAAGACCCTTTCCTGTGCAATGAACTTCCGGTACCCAACTGAATCAGCAGTGCAAACAGGTTTATAGTCCTGCAGGTAATCAAGGCATTTCCAGCCATTGGTGAGGAAGGTGAAGTACTGAAGAACCATCTACTCCCCCCTAAACAGAGCTCTCAATAGAGAGGCGCAACTCAAATGCCTGTGAGAAATTCCCTTTACGGGAATAGGTGGTAGCCACAACATCCCAAACATTCTGGGCAGTCTCCATAGATAAGTAGCCCTCGCCAATGTCTAGTACCATCGAAAGAATAAGTCAACCCATAATCAAAGAGTTGGTAATCTCCCATTGGTCATAACCCAGGTTAGTTATGCCAGGTGCCTGTATCTTGCCATCCACATACCCCATATTCCCTCTGCTCATTAAAAACATAGTCAAACTTTGCGACCACGTGAGATAGTTCTGACCATTAAATAGAGAAGCAGTGATTTTAAGATTAGGGTTGGGGTTCTCAGTCATAGTAGTAGGTATAGGGAAACTCTCACTCCTAGGTGTCGAAGAAGTAGTGGACACACCGGTGGAATCTGCAATAGATACTGTTCTACCAAACCCTCAACAAAACTAGTGCCAATCACAAACCCGGAAGATGGAGGAATACAAGCACAATGACCACTAAGAAAATTAAAGACTTAAAAAAATCATCAATTTTTTTTTGTTTTTATTTTTTTATTTTTATTTGTGTGTGTTTGTTTTTAAATTACATTAAAGGGAAAACGAGGTGAGGTGAATACAGACCACAAACAGAGCTTCCAAATCACGAAGAGAACTCATCGATGCATCATCACGATGATGCAACAAGAATAGACAACAGACAATCAGAGACAGACGCACCCAGTCGGGGCTACAACGACGATAGAGGCAGACACACCCAGTCGGGGTTGCCTAGGGCCTTTCCAGCCCAGTTGGCTACTGCCGTCAGGCCTCCTGGCCTTAGCTTCGTCGGCGATACACCCAGTCGGGGCTTCCTAGGGCTCTCCCAGCCCTGCCGACCACTGCTGTCAGGCCTCCTGACCTAAGCTTCGTCGGCGAGTGACGATGGTGAGTGACGATAGTCCTAAGGGTGTGACAATGGAAGACGACTGTGTAATGGCTATGCGGTGGTTCCGGTGGGTACTGTATGGGTAGAGAAATTTAGGTTTTAGGGTTAGGCTTTAATACCATGTTATTTTTAGAGAATACCAAGATTATGGAATGATTAGGCTATCATTCCCTATTTATATTAATGAAGTTAATAATTACAAGGGAGCCCTAAGGTATAAAATAATTATAAAATAATAACCCAAAAACATAATATATTATTTTAACACATACACCCTTGATCCTCAAAACATAAAGAAAGCAACCAACAATGGACTAAGTCCACATAAACTAAAGTTATGACTCAAAACACTACCAAGGACACTTTCCCATAGACCAAAAAGTTTCCTTGAGGAATATAGAGGCAGTAGACTTTGTTTTAGGCTTCCAAAGTAGATATGCCCTGTCCAGCCAAACTATAGCTGCCACAGTAAGTAGTCCATCCCTATGCCATTATATAGAATGCATGCCATATACTATTTCACTTACCATTAGTGACCATTTGTATGATTACTATAAGAACAGAGGATAGTTCCTAATAACAACTAGATAAAAGTTTTACAAGTGAGAAAAACAATTAAGAAATCTGAATAAGGAAATGAACAAAAACATTCCCAAATTTAGCCTTAATTTTTAAAAGCAGGGTTATTTACACCAAAAATCTATGAAGGAATTTTACAAGGGTAAACACTCCAGTAAATGGGATTCTGTTGATCATTGCTTTGGGTGCCAGGAATTTCAATATTGAGACTAACAACTTCTCTAACCAACAACGTAGAGCCATTTTGATTTATCTAGATCTATATATCTATCTATCATTGCCTCTACCATGAATCCCACTCTTCAGATGAGACATAGAAAGTTTTCTGGTTATAGAAAATATTGAGGTCGCATTGGGTAGGCAAGCTTTCATTGAAGTTCTTGGTTAGTTCAGTGCATATTTCTCTTCTGCTATTTGAGCTCCAAGAGCCATGGCAATTCACTTAGAAATGAAAATTTATTTCTTCAGAGGTAGCATAAGAGATGATTCAAAATATCAAGTAGTTGAGCAGAACAACTTACGCAAGGGGTAAAAGTGATTGTTTGAGTGTAAGGACAATTAGTGCATCAGTACTGCCCTTTGGCTAAAACGGTCGGAAAACATGGGTGGGGAAGGAAGAAGAAAAATGAATAGGATCAAAAGTTGCTTTGTTCAAGATTGTAAAATTTGGAAGTAGAAATTGGAAGACTTTCAGCTCAAAGCACAACATATACGTTTTGTGTAAATTTGTTGTTTCAAGTGCTACTTGCTCACAGTTTGTGTTCTTGCCTCGTAAAGCTATGCTTTCAAATAACTTCTAGAGAAGCACAGTCCATAACAATAAAATTTAGAACTATCTTTAAAGTAAATTATAAGCGTCTTTCAACCATTACATTGTATTACTAACTAAATAAATCAATCAAGCAGTGGAATACCTTTCCATCCAGCTGTTCTTTCGCCCTTTGAATTTCTTGCTGCACAAAGCATCACAGAAAATAGAAAGGGAAAAAAAAATTAAATAAGACAGAATGTATCACTTAGGACCAATCAAGATACATGCATGCATGGTTCTTTAGCAAATGACATTAACATATATATATATGTTTGGTTAGCCTAGTGATCTGATACCCTATGCCCTGTTTCAAGTCTCATGCAAACCTGAAACACCATTGTCATTGGAGTGGAGGAGAAGACTGGGGGTCATTATTGAATTTTACATTCAATTCATTGCCTATAGGGAATATACAATGAGAAAAAGCAATGATATATATGGTTATCCAGCACAGAGAATTGACAATTCAGCAGGTACTACAGGCAAGCATACTGCTATCTATGCTTATGTAAACAATGAAAGGGTTATGCTGACCACCTTGATCTCCTCTGGAATATTTTCTGAAAGTGCCTGTACTCTCAGGTACAATGGGTGTAATGCAAATACAGAAAGAGAGCTGCATGACAAAAATGGGTGAAAAAAATTACAATGTGATCTCTAGGTAAGGTGAATGACAAAATTTGAAACTTCATGTGCATTGAAGTCACTAACAACTAGAGCAGAAAACAAAGCAAGCTATTTTCTCATCAAGCTATTTTGAAGCTCATTTTATTGACAAGCCTAGCCTGAACATGCCTAAGCTCATGAGCAAGCTCCAGTGGCAATTTTATAATTTTAGTTTACCGTGTGGCCTTTTATAAAGAACATAAATAAAAATATGATAAGGAAATCCAAGTACTCATACATCGCACCCTGTATGCTTATGAATGTGTTTTGACATGAAATATCATGTCCAACACTGTTTTAAGCTGACACATTTGGCTTCCACATACATGTTGAATTTTACTCTTATTTATACAACCAGGAAAAATGAGGACATTGACAAGTAATTGTTTAAGATTCAAAGTTCCTGAAATTTTTCGGATACATGAGCAAAGGCTACATGGTTTGCAAGTTTGTCAAACAATAGCCAAGCTGAGCTCAAACACAACTTTTTTGACCACTATTCAAGCCTGAGCTGAGTTTATACACTCCTTTCAACCTAGCCCAGCTCAAACAGCCAGATACAGGGCTCAGGTCTTTTTTTTGGTGAATAGAGGGCTCAGGTCTGTTTGTTTGCAACCCTATAAACAATTCTAAGCCACATGATATTTTTGGAAGATGTCACATAGAATCAGTAAATTTAAGACAAATAAAACTCACACATAAGTGAAGCCCGACAATTTACAAATTTACTTCCTCCTTGCAAGAGTAAGATTATAATATTAGTTCTAGTCAATAAGAATGTATAATCAGCGAATATACTTGGCAAATACAAGTTCTCAAGCATACGGTAGAAGAGATCAGAAGGAAAAGCTACGACAGCAAGCAACCTCACAGATGTATCGAATATATTACGTATGATTCAATACCTGTACGGATATGAGTCCCACCACATCAAATTGACTGATGTGTCGTTGATTGGTAAAAGCTGAACTAAATGAAATCCAGAATCAACAGCCCAGTCTACAAGTAACTTCAGGTCAAGGAACTCTCCAACTCCTAGATCGGCTTCTGATCTAACAGAAAACATGGGGATTGCCACACCAGCACCACGCCACGGCATTTCCTAGCAAAATCACATTAACAAAGTGGGACCATTCTATTTAACTTACACTCGAGGGAAAGTATACTCAGAACTGATTTTTGATTAGCAGCTTACTCGCATCATTCCATCTGAAATGAGAATATATCTTGGTTGACTAGCTGAGAAGTCAACAAAAACTTCCCGATTCTCACCAATTTCTAAAGAGAAGTTTCCTGCCTTTCCATATTTACTGTACTTGTATGTGAAATAGCTGTTAAGGAAGGGAGGGAGGGAGAGAAACCAAACAAATATAGATGAACAGTTTTTTTCTTTTTCTTTTTTACCAAACAAATGTAAAAGTTAACAAATAATATTTACTTTAGTTAATTATTTTACTTTTATTTTCCCTTTTTTTTAAATGACGAAAAACCCCTCCAAACGCAAGGCCACTTTGGATTCACCCCTGAAGGGTAAACCCTGGACACCTGCAACCACCCACAAACCACAAATATCAGGAAAGCCTAGGCATTACCAGCAGGAATTGACACAGACTGGGGCCAGTTGATCCCAATGACAACCTTAAACCGTTGGGGCTACATCATATAGTTATGTGAGACAAGAACACCCAAAAAAAGGATATTTTATAGGAAAATCATCCTTTTGCATCACACAGTCCGCTTGCCAAATTGATTCACCAGCATAATTAAGTTTGAGTCCATCCTGAACCTTCCATCGCCCCAATTTTACAGAACTGCCAATCACATATATCTGCAAAAATTTGTCAAGCCAGGAGTTCAATGTCATAAAATCCTAGCTATTTCAATGAGACCATAAACAAAACTTTGGAAGTATTGAACCATTTGCAGAGAATTGCGTAGTGTTTATCCAAGAAAGGAGAACTTACTGATGTGTCTTCTTCAATACTCGGGCAGCAAATTTTGAACTGAACAATGACTGAATCTGCTTACAATATTAATTTGTAAACAACACACATCCAATTAGATAATGCTTCCAAAATAGAGAATTATGTCAAAAGGAAAAACCAATTAGTTCGAACTGAGAAAAATTACCATTTTCATCCAACTTATTTTGAATGACCCCAAGGGGTCTTTCTATATCAAAGCTCCATTGTTTGCGAAAGATTACATTTTTGAAGGCAGTTTTAAAAGGAAGACTGTCAGAACCAATCTGGATCAGAGTATGACAAAAGTTTCAGTTGAAGTCAAGCATTGAGTTGATTCAATCAACTAATATAAAGCAAAGACAAACATGCAGTTTAAAAGAAATAGATAACCAAGCCAATGATTGTAGTTAAAGGAAATCATAGGGCTGCAATATGTTTGTCAACTCAAGCCAACCAAATAAATGGCACAACTCTGTTGTAGTCTAAGATATAATAGGTATAGGACTTATCATTGAAAACTAAGGCACTAGGGTTGTTGGGGGCCGGGTGATGAGAAGTAAGAGAGTGGAGTTCTGTGAAACCATTTATTAAATAAGGTATTAATTTTGTACTATCATCATATACCTTAAACTATAAGGGAAAAAAGTGCTAGAGATTGCAGACGTGAGAAATTGCATAAACAAGAAAAAAAAATTCAGTCACATGAAGATGAAATTTTGAACACTCGACACTGATTAGTAACGCTTAGGTAATATGAGTTTCTAGAACACGAGAATTAGAAGGATTGAAATTATAGAAAGAATCCCATACTCCCATATAAAATAAATTTTGAATCTTTCATTTAGAATTTTAAAATATCAAATGTATATATATTTTTAAAAAAGCACTAATTGCACAAGTTCATCAACGTATGTATCTCCCATGTGATCTGTAAGTGCATCTTCTGGGCCCCAAGTTCTGTCTTACAAATTAGAAGTTTGTATTTCGCCTTTAAAAAGTAATTTTCATGTCTTTAAATGATTTACATTATTGTGCCAAAAGCAACAATAGCTGAACTGTACTACTCTATGAATAAGACATGTACCATTAGCACTTTAACATATACTGCAATATACAGTCTATTTCAAAAACTCAGAAATGTACATGTCATATAACTGCATTTTTTAGCATTATAAGATTGCTAATAATAGCCAAAAAGAAATAAATAGTAATTTTAATTCTCATTATCTAGGAGCCTAATACAAAATGAAACCCAATTTATGTTTCAGCCTTACAAAACTGAAAGTAGAATCTCATTATTGTAAAGGAAAGTGTTGTATATCTCCTGTCACTAGAAATACATAAGAAATGGAAACAGTTTTGGTAACGAATTCAAATGCTTGCTGGTTAATTAGATTCATCTAAGCCGCTCTCTCCAACTTCTCAGCAAAGTACAAAATAATTGAGAGAACAGAGATACAGATGACATTGCAATAACAATTGAATGGGCATCACAATTTAAAACATAAAGGTGTGTATTTTTTCTTGTTGGAAAATGAATACACAATATATATTAATTCACAACATATTCCACAACAACAAAACAACCATATGAAGCACAATTGTAAAAAAGAGCTTGTTTAAATCAAATTTTAAAATTAAAAAATAACAATAATAATCAAAGTTCCACAAAATTCTGCAGAATTGGTTCCCAAAACATGTTTCCAAAATTAAATTAGTTGTGTAAACCCAATTTTTTTTTCCTCTTCACAATGCATTTCCACAACTACAGGAACAAAAAGTAACCTAAAAGGAATAATTACAAAACAAGTTCGTAGAGAGAGAGAGAGAGAGAGAGGCAAAAGCAGCACCTGCCAGAGGTCACGAAGTGCCACCTCCTCTCCATCCTGAAGCCCATTAGGCAGCATTATTTTCCTCTTCATCCCAGCCTCCCATCTCAGAACATTCTTATCATCATCCACTACATAATAACTGTACTCACATCCAAACCCATCTGGGACAGCAATAGTTCCACGCCAAACAAGCTCATCACCCTGATGATGAGGACTCAACAGAAGACCTTTCTTCACATTCCATGAACCAAGCGCAGGTTCTGAACCACACACAAGAAGGCTCTGCCCCCAATGAGTATAGTAAGGTATTCTGAAACTCAAGCTCACTGGTTTCCTAGACTTGCTCCCAGAAATAAAATCAAAATTGACCATTTTCCCAAGAAATGAATCTGGCCCAGATAAATTTTTTTCCAAATCTAGCAAAACCCAGATGTAATTTGTCAGATTCAATGCAGCTGTGAAACAAATTATAAACAAGAATTGATACTAAAAGTACTCCAGCTTGAAATTTACAAAATTCAAATCAGAATGTAATCATAAGTTGACCATGCTCTAACTAAATTGGAAAAGAACCAACTACAAATTGTTAAATCTCCAAAGGACTCAAATAAATATACAAACTATAATCCAAACACATAATGAGTTGTACAGAGTTGCAGTCATAGTGTAACCAAACAGAACTGGAAAAATTTAATGCAAACGAAGTATATGAAGAAACCGAACGATAATTCACAGAATCCAAGAGAGAAAAAAATATACTGGAAGATGAGAAAATACCCAGATGCAATAGATGAGACTAGGACCTGAAACAATCAAAACCCAGTAAAGATTAGCTTTGTAATGCAAACGAAGAATATGAAGAAACCGAACGATAATTCTCAGAATCTAAGAGAGAAAAAAATATACTAGAAGATGAGAAAATACCCAGATGCAATAGATGAGACTAGGACCTGAAACAATCAAAACCCAGTAAAGATTAGCTTTGTTTGAATAATTGAAAGTCAGTATGCTTGGAAACTTTGAGGGAAAATGGTGGGTTTATCAAGGGGGGAAGATAGTGGAGAGGAAAAAAAAGGGAATCTCTTAGTTGGTTTTGGAAGAAACAAACAGAAACAGTTATCAGACCCAAAAAGAAACAAATATGGAAATCGCATTCAAATGAGAGATTTTAAATAGTGAGAAAAAGCGAGAGATTTTTATAGTGAGAGAGAAGGAAAAGATTGAATCCTGCATTCACGAGAGAGTGACAGTTTGGGGTGAGACTGATGAGAGAGAGCGAGCCTCCGACCCCGTGCCTTTTGGCCTTTTCGCCGCTGAATAATTTTCTTTGCTTTTTGCAACTAATTAAATTATCGCATCGCTCACCTTGGCCATGTTTGGGCAGATGAATATTTTAATAAGTTATAATTTTTTAATTTAGAAAGATAGTTAAATTTTTTTATAATTTGATGTAATATTTGTAAAAGAAAAAGTGAAATGATTATAAATTTGATGTGATATTTTATCTTATTAACTATTTTAGTTTATTTTGTCTTTTTGTAAATTTTAATTTAAAAAATAATTTTTAGTCTTTTCCAAACAAGATCCTTATTTTTTTTCACATTTTTTTATAATAAATTAAAAAATTATTAAAATAATTTATTTTTAAAGAAGACTTTAATACTGTTTTGTTAGAAAGGCCTAATTAGAAGGGTCGCCTAGGGAAATATTTGAGGAGTCGAGGCGTCGAGGTCTAGACGCGACCCGTATGTGTTACATATTAGAATTACTTGATTATATAGTAATAAATTGTGAATTCACACATAAATAAGAATTCGAACTCACATTTCTAACAATAGATACAATTCATCCAAATTGAAAAGTTTATCTTACTAACTATATGTACTGTATGTCGAATGACTAGTCTCAGAAGGAATAAAACTTGGACCTCAAAATTTATACCTCTAAAACTTACCAAGTTATCACAACCCTGAGTTATTAATACTTTTTTTTTTTTTTTTGTCATTTTTTTTTGCTATGCACTGATTAGTGAAATGAATATGGTGTGATAAACCACCCAAATTACCTTTGGCTAGTTAAAAATTTAGGGGTATTTACGTGTAGGTCCTAATAAGTAGATTTATTATCTAATAGGTCATATGTGAAAAATTTATCATAAAAAAAATCACTAATTGTAAATTTTAGCGACAATTTATAAAAATCATGATAAAAAAAAATCACTAATTGTCAATTTTAGCGACAATTTATAAAAATCATGATAAAAAAAAATCACTAATTGTCAATTTTTAGCGACGTATGTAAAAAATTGTCACAAAAAAAATTATTTTTAGCGACAATTTTAACAAGGCTTATTTTCAATAGGACTTAATGAGAATTAAATTCAACTATTAGGACCTATTGGTAGTTTACCTATAAATTTTATTCAAGTTTGATTAATTAGGCAAATAAATCAATCTCAAATATATTTTAAAATTTATTAACGTTTTTAAATTAATTGCTCAATCTTGAATATATTGGGTTCATATCTCAACATGTGAGAAATCACAAGTCTCGTTTCAATAATTCAAACTATTTATTTTGTACAACTTCAATATATATCATCAATGAAAAAATTAATTTGATTCAATAATCGTCATATTTTTATTTATTGTATTTGTTTTCAAAAAAATAAGTGACAAATATATTTTTTAAAATAGACCATGCACTTTTTAAAAGACAAACATGATAAAATGAAAATATTATGATTATCAAATCAACTTAATTTTATTTATGAATGATATATATATTGAGAGCTTTACAAATTAAACAATTCAAATCGTTGAAATGAACGGATCCCTCAAATTTTGTCATGTTAAAATATAAATATAAGAGAAATTCAACCCAACTTAAAACTACATAAAAATATCAAATTATTGGAATTCAACTCAACAAAACTCATTTGAGATCAACTCAAAAATTTAATCAACCAACCTAAAATAATTTTAAAATTCATTAAAAATTTTAAATTAATTATAAACAATTTATTAATCATTTGACCCATTTATCGTCCAAACCCTCAATGAATATGATGAGTGGGAGTAGACTAATGCATTTAGGGTTATTTTGAAAAGATGATTAGAAGTCATCTTCTTAACTTTTAACTCATTTTAGATCACATAATCTCTTACATTTTGTTGAAAAAAAAATCAAAACACTAAAAAAATAATTTTTAATTATCTTCCCAAAATTACCCTTATTATTAATAATTCTAAAACTAGCACGTTAGCTGACGTCAGATTCACATAAAGTTTGTATTCGCAACCGTGAAATCCACATAAAGTTTGTCACACTTTCGCTAGGTGCCTTTATTTACACCATGGAAAGATATGGTTACACCCTTCAATTTATTGGTTTTTTATAATTATATTTTTTCTAAAATTATCGATTGACCTTCCAAATTTAAAAATTGATATAATTATTAATAAATCCTGAATTTAATTTTCATTAAATCCTATTAAAAATTAGTCATAATAAAAGTGTCATTAAAAATAATTTTTGTGATATTTTTTATATATGTCACTAAAAATTGATAATTAGTGACTTTTTTGTCACGATTTTTATAAATTATCGGTATGACAAATTTTTTGAATTGTCACTGAAAGTTAAAAATTAGCGACTTTTTTGTGACAATTTTTTTAAACTGTCGCTAAAACTTAAAATTAGTGACATTATTTGTGACAATTTTTAAACTGTCACTAAAAATTAATAATTAGTAACTTTTTTAATAGTATATGATAAAAAAATACTATTAATTATCATATAACCTATTGGATAATAAATCTATCCATTAAAATCTACACGTGAGTATCCCTAAAAATTGAACACGTAATTTTGTCACTCCACACCATCCTCCATCACTGTTATCTTTCCTTCATCCTTTCTTCTACCTCTGATAGCTAATCCGTCATCCCAACATTTTTTTCCACCTCTGACAATCCTTCCACTATTCCTCTGCCTCTGATACACCTTTCCTAACCACTTTAATACCTTTTTTCCCACCTCCGGCAGCACCCCGCCACCCATTCAGCTCCTAAAACCACCACAGTGCTTGCTTCACGTTGACGGAGTAACAAGGAACTACAGGGTCACGTGCCTCTTGGACTTCACAAATTTTTTTTTTTTTTGACACCAACTTTATTCAAAAGCAATTGTTTTACGATTTCTATCCTCTCACTTATAACATGTTTTTTGCATTAGCACCATGTAATATTGTTTATGTAGTGGCTTAAAACAATAGTTTAGTGTTTATGAATAGGACATAAAATCTCATTATTGTTATGTAGCTGGGTGATGATGAGTGAACTGACCTCGTTTGGGAACTAAATATTTTAGTCAAAAATTTATTATAAATTGTCATATCATGCTCTCTATGTTTCTGCATATCTTTTCGTAAAAAATTAAAAAGTTATTAAAATAGTCTATTTCCAAACGAGACCGTGCAGTTTATCATTTCTCATTTCGAGAGCACAAGGTAATATCATATTATATTCCCAAGTTATCTAATAATTTTTATTCAAAACATCTCATATGTAAGTGATAATATCTCTCTAATATTTTTCTCTCAAATAAAAATTAAAGAAATTTTATAATGATTTGTGCTATAAATGATATCTTTTTATTTTCTAAAATTAGGAATTTGTAAACTTTTTTGCTAAAATTGTAAACTTACATTACTATCACGTGCCGCTATTATAGATTTTGATTTGTTATCATTAATAATGAATATTTAAATTTTTATGCTTAAATTTAGCTCATAAAATTATTATTATCTTGTAGTTGATCCTGTAAAAAAAAAATTTGAAATTGTAAGGTGGCCCCTCTAACTTAATTTCATGGCTCCGCCACTGCCCACCCATGCCCTCACCCCAACTTGTAACACCTGTGTTCATTAAGCCATTAGTAAGTGTATTTAATTTCATTACTTTCCTTTTCGGGATCTTTGGGTTGATATATCATTGTATTGGAAGAGTGAAATATGGTCTAAACTTGATTGGGTTATTCTTTTGCGCATGGTTTTGTCATAATAGGTGCTTTGGAAGCCTTTATTTTCTGTTCTAGGTGTCAACACTATGCTCCTAGGAGTTGGCACCTGCCTTTCTCTTCTTCATTTTTGTCTCTCTTTTGTTTTTGGTTCCTGGTGTCAACACCACCTCTTCTAGGTGTCGATACCGCCCGACCTGTTTGTCTTAGGTTGAGTACTAGTTTCTGGTGTCGACACTTGGGGCTTTTGGTGTCGACACCTTGTCTGATGAAAACTCAAGTGTTTCACCACTACCGTAGAGTGTCGACACTTGACAAGAAATTTCATAATTTCTTCTACATTTTGGGCCCTACTTTTTGGAGTTTTTGACTCATTCTTTTAGTTGACTTTAGGGAAAATATTCCATTTTTGACCTAGCACTATAAATAGACCCCTTATGCACTCTATTTCCTTACTTTTTTTTCTCTCTCTCTCTCTCTCTCTCTCTCTCTTTTCCTTCTCTTTACCATAACCCACTATTCTCTCTCTTCAAATACTAGTTTCTTTAGATTTACTCACTTCGGGTCATCCTTTTACCTTGCTCCTTTGACATAGATTGTAGAGCACATCAAGGTTTTCGTTCTAATCTGAACGGATCGTCCTTTCGCCATTTTCAACTTTTGGGGTTTTTACATCTCTTCTTCTTCTCTTTACTTTGCGGTAGGAATTTCTTTGATTATTTACAATGTGGCAATCTTTATTGCATAAAAACATGGTTGTTTTGAGATTTTTCTAAAAACATGAAGATGGGGGTTTAGAGTTTGAGCTTTATGATTTTAAACTTGTGTTTTGTGCTTGATTATCAAATTAGCGTTATTTAGCATGCTTAGGATTAGAAATGTAAGAAAAATCAAAAAAACCGATCAAACCAATTGAACATAACCAAACCGGCTATATTTGGTCTTTTTTTAATAAGAATTGGTTTGTATGGTTTTTAAATTTGATTTTTTTGATTTTTGGTTTGGTATTGGTTCAAGCACCTTATGCACCGAACTAAACCGAAACCGAAACAAACCGATGCAACATATATTGTATTTATATATATTGTATTTATAATATATACATATATATAATCTAATAATTTAATGATATTAATAAGTATAATAAATTATTAACCTTAATTAATTAACTTTATTATCTTTATAACCTAAGTTTGTAAACTCTTATTGTATATAATTTAACTCTAACTCGTTATTCTTGAAACCTTAGTATTTTTTTATTTTTTTTTGTTTTTACTTTTGTTAATTTAGGAATTGAAAAGTATTTA